AAGCATATTCGCATGTTAAGGTGTTTTCTTTGGTATCGTTTTTGTCCGTCATGGGTTTTTTTTTCCCTTTTTTTTTGAGAAAAAATATGAAAACATTGGAGCCCAAAAAGTATCCACACAACACAAGCCAGCAGGCCCAAGATTATAACTCGCATATATGCAACCAATCTATGTGATCATGTAGTCAAATTAAGTCTTGGCTCTCCGTTCCTTCTGCTAACGATTCTGTATGCCATCAGAGACGGACAACAGAGAGAGTAGGAAAAATGTTATAGCCCAGACTAAACTAGAAAATGAAAAAGGGTTTGTAAAGTACTTAGGGGTGGACTTTTCATCCGAATTATCCGCATACCGACTGTATCGTACCGACGGTTTTGTTTGATTTGGTTTGGTTAAATAATTATTTTTTAATTTTAATTATTCCGATCCGATCCGTACCGAGATGTTTGGTTTGGTTAATGGAAACAATATTCATAATCCAACGGAAACTTTTACCGATATGATATTTATATTTATTCTATTATTTAAATACAAAACAAAAAACTAAAGATAAATACAATCAGCATTTTGTATCACTCATTTATCACTGTTGTATCACTTCTTTTATCACATCATCATGGGATAAAAAAGACTCGACATTATCATCAAGAGAACCATCCTCTACAAATCGATCCATATCGGCCTGCAATTCAAGATCTTTATCATCCCACTGCCAAAATGGAATTCCAATGAGAATACATGCAAGGAGTTGCCAATTCCTTCTAATACACGAAGTTGAAGAAGTCGCTCACCAACTGATTTGATGGTGATGTAAGGGTCCCAGTACCATCAGGGCCAAACATCATCAGAGGCTTGGAGGAGCTACCACTATGGGGCAAGGTAGGCATTGAGATTACATCTCCAGGAGTGTGCGTTGAGGGAGTTGAAGGGGCTGAACTCGGGGAAGGCCCAGCCGTGTTTGCTGTTCCCGTGCTATTGGCAGGACCTGAAGATGACACTGGCTGCTTTCTCTTTCTCCCAGCCTGGTTTTTCGAAACCTTATTTACAAAAAATAGTATAGCCGATCGGCTATACTCTTCTGATAATTTTTTTTAAAAGATGTAGTAAAGCCGGGCGGCGATACCCCCTTTCCCATTTTTATAAAAGCAATCGTATAGCCGGCTATACTCTTGTTTTTAAATTTTTAAACGTAATATTATAGCCGCCCGGCTATACTAGTATTCATTATTTAAAATGGTATAGCCGCGCGGCTATACCAGGTTTTTTCCCCTTTTTTTAAGGCAGTAGTGTCAGCACAGCTTTACTGGGCTTTTTCCCAATTGTATTTAAAGAAATAGTATAGCCGAACGGCTATACTCGGTTTTTTCAATGTTAAAAAAAATATTATAGTCACACTGCTATACCAATTTAATATTTCAATAATACATCTTTGTTTTGTTACCATCTCAAGGACTTGGTAAAATTCACGTTTTTTAAAAAGCGAATGTACAATACTCATATTAAACATGTACATACGTGTTTTTTCATGTTTAATACACATATTTTTTTACAAAATTCAGGTATTATACACATAATTATCACATATTATTGAATACAAATAATATATATTAAAATATTATATAGTGGCAGAAGTTTTAAGTTGTAATTTGCCAAAATTTTGCCCAAAAAAACACGTATGTATTTTATTCGTATAGCTTTGCGGTTGTACCAAATTAATATGTATAAAGTATAAACTAATGCAACCAAGAGGGTCCTTTTTCATATTTATTTTTATTAAATAATGTCGCCGTGTGGCCCTAATATTTAAATATAATGTATTTAAATAGTATAGCCACATTTCTTTTTTTGCCAAATGGAAATCAAAATTAAAGTTACTCTTTTTTCTTTTCCTTTTATGTGCATGCATGAAACTCTTCAAATTATGAAGTTATTGAGCTAAATGTTAGTTTGCGCAAAAACAAGGAAAAACCTCAGTTTAAAATTCAAGAAGTATGTAATTTCATTACAAGATTTATTTCATACAAAAGTATGTAATAAGAAAATTCGTAATTTATCAATATTTTCAGTTGATATTGAATGATAGGATGTTCAATTCGTATTTGATATATATATATGCATGGTATTAATTATATGAGAGTTTGAGATATGTTGGATTGACATCAGAATAACGATGAGAGTTTGAGATATGTTGCTCTTCTTTCCTGCAAATTAAGAAGAAATCATAAACAAATCTTCTCAGATCAGTGCATGCGGTACAAAGAAACAAGTTATCATCATCAATTGAAGTTTAGAAAAGTCAATAAATCAAAAAAGTACATTTGACTGTACGTATAATCTTCTGTGAATTTGTAAAGATTGTATGTCTTGGAATTCAATGGTGGCTGGCTGTTAAACTCAACTAATAATTAATAATTAATTAATAACATGAAAAGTCAGAGTAACCGTGAGAGAAAGCCAAGACCCGCACAAATTACATAGAAAACTTTTATTTTATTTTATTTTATATTTTATAAAGTATATAAAAAGTCAAAGCTTTATTTTTGAAATCAGAGAGCAAGGACAAACCTTACAATCACAAACAGGGAATTAAACACATCTGATAGATCATGCATACCAATTTCTTTCTTCTTGTTGCATTCAACAACCCACAAAATGTATACCTTTTTACATACATAAGATTCTATTCCTTCTCTGGATAAAAGAAATACAAATTTATAAATAAACCCAATCCTAGACATGTATTTATAAAAAAACCCAAGCACTATTTAAACATAGAAACACACCCAAAATTAACCCCAAAGTCAACTTTTTGGGTGTGTTTATAAATGGGTTTTGAGTGTGTGTAATGATAGGTTTTGGGTGTGTTTATATGTTTAAATAGTGCTTGGGTTTTTTTATAATTTCAACCCCCATTTTGGGTGTTTTAGTGAAACTCCCTAAAAGAAAAGTATAACAAGCACTATTTTTCTATCAACATATTATCTCCAAACTAATACATGGAAGCTATACGCATCGGATCAAAGCATAACGATGAAAGGAAGTAGGATCCACACGAAAATAACGATGAGAGTTTCAGATATGTTGTTCTTCTTTCCTGCAAATTAAGAAAAATCATAGACAAATATGATCAGATCAAAGAATGGGGTACAAAGAAACAAGTTATCATCATCAATTGAAGTTTAGAAAAGTCAATAATCAAATATACATACCTCTTGCATTGGCCGTAGGTGGAGATATTAATGGTGGCAATGCCACTGGTGCGGTCTGAGCTGCAGGGTCATAGAAGAGGTAATCAACCTGATAATATACGTCACAGCTGGGATTAACATAGCTCCCAAAACCACTCCCATAACAATACATTTGGATCTTTTCTAAAGCTTCATCTAAGCAATTGTTACATCCCAGCTCTGACAAATCTGGACTGCACTGCGCAAGTCCATATATTGTACTTATATTTTTAGAATATATAGAAACATTTGCATTTCCCACTGCAAACTTAACAACATCACCGCCAGCCGCTACTTCAACTTTTAGTACTCCCAACAACGCCATCAGCCGTTGGTTAAACACTTCCAGGACCGACAACGACGACGACACATTTTTGTTGCTGTACCCCGTGGAAGATGGAATCAATTCCACGGTTCCATGCATGGAGTGGTTCGAGTAGCGTAACTTGCATTTTTCTGTCCACAAACTTGCCTCCCTGCCATTAGGGCAAGCCTCCATGAGATCGTATCTGGAGGCGTTGAGGCAAGTAACGCAAGCATCATGCTTCAGATCCCCTCTACAGAGCCCGATTGCATAAACTTTGTCAGAGTTTTCGCCGTAAGCAGAACTGTAAAACCCGTAGCCGTTACTATTGTTGGAGGAGATGAGGGAGGACAAAACGCCATTAACGTTTTTGAGATAGGTGCTATTGAGAATGGTGGTATTAGGAAAGGCGTCAAGACAGTTGAACATATCAACGGCTTGAGTACCGATGACCGGTAACAAAATTAGGGGAAGAAATAGTTGAAATCTAGTGGAAACCATTATGCCTGCCTTAATCTGTGCGCGGTCCATATGCATTGTGTTAATTGTGTACAGATTATATGTATATATAAGATAATCTCTACATAATGAATGGGAACATATGAATTTTTAAATATCACGCAAGCATTTTTTTTTGGTTACCTTATCATGTCAAGACTACTACTATTGTTTTTGATTGTTGACCGTATCATATGTGAATAATATAAAAGATTAAATGTCTTGAACTTCAATGGTGGCAGGTTGTTCAACACAAATAAAAATTAATTAATTAATTAATACTAATATGAATTGTTTTAGCTCATCACGCAAACTAAGCAATTGATTATTTTACATTAATAATGAAAAAGTCAAAGTTGAAACATGAAAGAAAGCTATGAACAGATCCTTGGACGTCATAGAATCAATTGACAAAGTTGCTTTGTTTCTCTCTTGATCCACATAAATATGAAAAGGAAGCTCATTCATGGTGACAATGCTGCTGGTACGACTGTCTGATTTGCAGGGGCAAAGAAGTGGTAATTAAGCTCATACCTTAAGTCACAGCTGGGATTAGCATATTTCCCAAAACCATTCCCATAACAATATTTTTAGAGGCTTCCGAGAGCTTCACCTAAGCAATTATTACATCCCATCTCAGACAAATCTGGATTGCACTGCTCAAGTCCATATATTGTACTTATGTTATTAGAATATATAGAAACACTTGCATTTCCCACTGCAAACTTAAGAACGTCACCACCGGCTGCCGCTTCCACTTTTAGTTCTCCCAATAACGCCACCAGCCGCTGATTAACCTTCCACGACCGATGACGACAATGACACATTTTTGCTGCTATAGGACGTTGAAGATGGAAGCAATTCCACGTTTCCTGGCATAGAGTGGTTTGAATATCTTAACTTGCAGCCTTCGGTCCACAAACTTGCCTCCCTATTATTAGGGCAACCCTCCATGAGGGCATACATGGAGCTGTTGAGGCAAGTAACGCAAGCAGCGGGCTTCAAATCCCCTCTACAAAGCCCATTTGCATAAACTTTGTCGGAGTTTTCGCCGTAGGAGGAATTGTAAATCCCGTACCGCTTACTATTGTTGGAGGAGATGAGGGAGGACAAAGCTGTTGAAATATAAGTGGTGAGCTGATGAGAGTGTGATTAAAGTCCCTAAGCTGAAATGGTGTATTCACTTAGTCTCTAAAATAGGCAAGTGTGAGGCGTCAGTTAGTGTTAAGTGGCTATAGCCACGTGTAAAGATCTTAGAAGGCAGTTTTGGATGTAAGGCTGTGATTCTCAAGTGATGTAAGAGAATCCAGCTATTTCTCTAACAGTCATATAGCACACACTGTGCTTGCCCGAAAGTTTTAGAGCATACAATACAAAAATACAGAAGTTTTGTTTTAGCTAAGCTCTCGGTTTTCTCTTGCATATTGTTTTTCTCTTCTTCTTCAAAACCTATACAAAACTCTAACATGGCCTCAGAGCCAGGTTTCGGTGTCTTGATCTGGGCGTAAAACTGTTAAGGTCACTGAGCTAAAATCGAAGCTCAGCTGAGCATCGGAGAAGAGAAGCAAGCTGCTGAGATTCAGACCAAACGATGGCTGGATCTGGAAGTTCTGAGGTACGAACTCCGATCTTTTCCGGTGAGAACTACGAGTTCTGGAGGATCAAGATGGTGACAATCTTCAAATCTCTTGGGCTGTGGGGTCTGGTAGAAAAGGGAACTCCAGTCTTTGATTCGAAGATGAAGACCAAGAAAGTTGAAGAATCATCGGAGGAAGAAGCTGAAGCAGAGATGTGTGCTGTGCTCATGAAGGATGCAAAGGCACTAGGCATCATACAAAACGCTGTCTCTGACCAGATCTTCCCTCGGATTGCAAATGCCGATTCAGCAAAAATGGCTTGGACTCTGCTCTACAGTGAATATCATGGAGGTGATCAGGTTAGATCTGTAAAACTTCAGAATCTTAGACGAGAATTTGAGTATATGAGGATGCGTGAAGGTGAACAACTTACTGCATATCTTACTCGATTAAATGAATTGATAAATCAAATGAAAACATTTGGAGAGGTGTTATCAAACGAGAGGCTGGTTCAAAAGGTGTTAATAAGTCTTAGTAGAGTTTATGATCCCATCTGTTTGGTGATTGAAAATACAAAGAGTTTGGAGACCATTGAATTGCAGGAGGTTATTGCAATATTGAAGAGTCAAGAGCAACGTTTTGACTTGCATTATGTGGACATAGCTGAGAAAGCATTTGGTTCTTTCTCAATCGATCAAAAGGGGCAGAACAAGAATAATGCTCAGTCTGGTTCTGCCAAGTCTCAGAAGAGTTGGAAGCCTAACAACAAACCATGGGAGTCTAGACAGAAGCCACAGCAAGCTGGCGCTGGACAGATTTCAAATGGATCACATTCTGTGCAGCAAGATGGGGTGAAGCCTCAATGCAAGGTCTGCTCTAAATTTCACTATGGAGAATGCAGATACAAGGGTTAATCCAAGTGCTATAAGTGTGATAGATTTGGACATTGGGCCAGAGACTGCACTTCAAACAAAGGAGGACAGAAAGCAAATAATGCAAGCCAAGTAGAAGTAAGAGGGAATCTGTTTTTTGCAAACTGTGCAATTTCAGAAAAGGGTGAAAATGGAGAATGGTATGTAGACAGTGGCTGCAGTAACCACATGACTGGGAAGAATGAGCTGTTAATTGACATAAACTCAAAAATCACAGGCAAGGTGCAAATGCCAACAGGGGAGCTTGTAAGTATAGCCGGCATGGGCACTTTGGTGCTTGACACAAACTCTGGTGCAAAGTATATCAGAGAGGTCATGTATCTGCCTGGTTTGAGAGAAAATCTCTTGAGTGTGGGCCAAATGGATGAACATGGTTATCATTTGGTATTTGGAAGCAGCATGTGCAGCATCTATGATAGTTCTTCTCTTGAGAACCTTGTTATGAAGGTGGAAATGAGAAAGAATAGATGTTATCCATTATCATTACCCTCAAATGATTTTGTTGCACTAAGAGCTGGTGTAGTCAACTCTACTTGGGTTTGGCATAAAAGAATGGGGCATTTACACTTGAAAGGCCTAAACCAACTCAAGGAAAAAGAGATGGTACATGGGCTGCCACATTTGGAAACTGTAAATGAAGTGTGTGAAGGCTGCCAATTAGGAAAACAACACAGAGAGTGGTTTCCTAAAGATCAAGCATGGAGAGCTAGTACACCTCTTGAACTTATACACATGGACTTGTGTGGACCAATGCAAAATGAATCTCTAGGAGGTAACAAATATTTCATGTTACTCATAGATGATTTTACAAGGATGATTTGGGTCTACTTCTTGAGATACAAGTCGGATGCACTAAATTGTTTTCGAAAATTCAAGTCTATGGTGGAGTTGCAAAGTGGTTACAAAGTGAAATGTGTTCGAAGTGATAGAGGGGGTGAGTTCACTTCTAGTGAATTCAATAAACTATGTGAAGATGCAGGGATTCAAAGACAATTCTCCATGGCTTACACACCCCAGCAAAATGGAGTGGTAGAGAGAAAAAATATGACTATGGTAGAGATGGCTAAGGCTATGTTGCATGAGAAGGAGCTGCCCTATTATCTATGGGCAGAAGCTGTCCACACAGCAGTGTACATCTTGAATAGATGTCCTACTAAGGCTCTTAGGGACAAGACTCCTTTTGAGGCCTATAGCACCAGAAAACCAGGTGTTGCTCATTTAAAAGTGTTTGGCAGTGTGTGTTTTGTGCATAAACCAGGGGAGAATAGACAGAAATTGGATGCCAAAAGCACAAGGGGAGTTTTTGTTGGATATGCAACGTGTGAGAAGGGTTATAGAGTGTTTGATCCTATCACTAGAAAACTACTCTTATCAAGGGATGTTGTATTTGATGAAGGAACAAGCTGGAATTGGAAAGAAGTGTCTGACAATTCTGTGGTTATGATGAACTTTGAGGAGCAGCCTAGAATTTCTCAAATGGATTCGTTTGAGACACCTATAGGGCCTCAAAATTCTGGTTTCCCTGCTGGAAACTCAGCTGCTTCCTATGGAGAATCAAGCAAGGAAAGCAGTAGGTTGGACGATACTCAGACCTTCGATCATACACCATTGAAATGGAGGAAGTTGGATGACATTTTGGCACAATGCAACCTGTGCACAATGGAGCCTGAGAAGTTTGAAGAAGCTGTGAAGGAGGAATCATGGTTGAAGGCAATGAAAGATGAGTTGAATATGATAGAAAAGAATAAGACATGGGAACTTATTGACAGACCTATGGAAAAACCAGTTATTGGAGTTAAATGGGTGTTTAAAACTAAGCTAAATTTGGATGGCTCAGTGCAGAAGAATAAAGCAAGACTGGTGGCCAAGGGATACTCACAAAAACCAGGGGTGGACTACAATGAAACGTTTGCACCAGTGGCTAGATTAGACACTATTCGAACCTTGATTGCCCTTGCAGCTGAGAAGGGTTGGCAGCTGTACCAATTGGATGTCAAGTCAGCTTTTCTAAATGGTATTTTAGAGGAAGAAGTGTATGTAGACCAGCCGGAAGGATTTGTGGTAAAAGGAAGTGAAAGCAAGGTTTACAAACTACACAAAGCTCTATATGGCTTGAAACAGGCGCCAAGAGCTTGGTATAGTGAAATTGATGGTTATTTTGCTGAGTGTGGATTTACAAAGAGTCAAAGTGAAGCTACACTTTATGTCAAAGCAAGAGGTGTAGAAAATATCCTGATAGTTTCCATTTATGTAGATGATATAGTCTACACTGGAAATGATCATGAAATGCTAGAAGATTTCAAGAAGGACATGAAGGAGAAGTATGAAATGACTGATCTGGGACTCTTGCATCACTTCTTGGGAATGGGAGTCATTCAAACACCAACAAGCATATTCATTCATCAGAAGAAATATGCAACAACTCTGTTAAACAGATTTGGTTTGAGTGAGTGTAAACCGGTGTCTATTCCACTAGTTACCTCAGAGAAACTAAGTAAGGATGATGGGAGTGGTTTGGCAAGTGAAGAGCAATATAGAAGGATTGTTGGGAGTCTGTTCTATCTCACAGCTACTAGACCCGACATTATGTTTGCAACTAGTTTGCTTGCAAGGTTTATGCATTGTCCAACTAGCAAACACCTTGGAACAGCAAAACGTGTCCTTAGATATGTAAAAGGAACCTTAGATTATGGTCTGGAGTATGTGAAAGGAAAAGGGGCAGTTCTAATTGGCTATTGTGACAGCGATTGGAGTGGCTTAGTGGATGATAGCAAGAGCACATCTGGATACGCTTTTTCTTTTGGGAGTGGAGTGTTTGCTTGGGCCTCAGTCAAGCAAAATTGTGTTGCACTCTCTACTGCAGAAGCTGAATACATCAGTGCCTCTGAAGCAACAACACAAGCTATGTCCTAGAAGACTTTGGA